TTTCACAATGCCATCCAACCCTACGGCTCGCTGTGGCTTGAGCTGCAGATGACACCTGAAGAGTATATTTACCGTAACCTGCCTCAAAAATTATTTGCGTATACTCTTAAGCATGAAATGAACTGTTTTGAATGAATGTGTTACTGGCAGCAGCGGCTGAAGTGTTGTCATAGCTTGGCTGCTGCCAGTGGTGGAGTTTTGGCTGCTCACCCATTCCTCCCCGCAACAATGTAGAGTTTGTTTTCTGCTTTTCTTCCTGATTGCAAGCTTCCCAAATTCTTTTATAACCTGCAGTGACAAGTGCTTTGCTTTGCATTTTGTTACTCTATCTCTTATGCTCTGCAGTCTTGATGGAAGCATTTTATGTGGTTTAAAGGCTTCTGACTTTATGAAATGAGACCCTGCACTTCAGTGAAGTTGGTGAGAAGCAGAGAGACAGGTAGGGAATAGCTTTATCAGCTGCTTCGGGGATAGACCGTGAGGTGTTTAACACCACATGGCAATGCTGCATGGTGGTGGAAAACAGGAGGTGAAAAGTAATACAAGTAATTCAAGCTGCTAGGGGAGTGAATTATAGTGAGCCAAGGCACAAACTCAGACCCCTGCTTTTCTCAAGGCTTTCAGTGTCAGAATTGAAATGGTGCTTCATGATACGAGGCTGGGGCTGGCGCCTTGGCTTTGAGTTTTAAACCAGGCATTTTTCCCCCTTAATGTTTTTGCCAGGCAGACTGCAGATCCTGCACCCATCAATTCTGTGTCACTGCCTTCACCCGTGCTCCATGAGTACTGCCTTCCTCCTCTGCACCTTTCCCCCAAGCTGTGGTGTTGCACTGTTAGGTGTTTTCAGTGTCTAGCCCCAAAACCAGACATGCGTTAAAGTGGATGAAATGTTCTTTTTCTTGCATTATCTTTAAAAGATATGGTGGGATAATGCTAGCAGAGCCGTTTTTCCCTAGGCATCTGGAGAGGCAGCATGATGTAAGCATCAGGATTTTCATGTTGACACCAGCTAATGGCATCTCCTGAGAGTATTGTTCTGGAGAAAGGCATGGCAGCTCAGGTCCTCACTTAATTTTTCTCTGGGGACTTGTGCCACTTTAGTGTCAGTGATTTTAGTGAACCTGCACATGAGAGCTCCTACTCGGTCCTCATCCCCCTGGGTCAGAGAGGAGACCATCAGGATGCTGTAGAAGGTCTCTTTGCTGCACTCATTACTTTTTGGGTCGCTTCTCTCACAGGCAGCTGCACCGTTTTCTTACAGCAGGATGGGAGGTGTCTCCTGACTGGGGGAGAGGCAGATCTCCCCTCCAAACCCCCGGCAGCATGAACTAATGAGCACCTGACTGTTCTGCAGCAGTGACGAGGTGGGACGCTCTGTGGCTGCGCACTGAGTCCTCTCTGTTCCCTGAGGCCAGCCTAGCAGTTCGGTAATGCTTTCTCGGTGCCGTATTGACTGTTCCTGCTTCTTTTTTCTCTTCCAGAGAGACGGTACTCCAGATCCCGTCCTAAGACTGGCGTGCTGAATTATTCATCTCACATGGTGACGAGCCGGCAGCCCAGCGAGATGGCCCTGACCCCACTGACAGAGCAGGAGGGTGAGGCTTACCTGGAGAAATGTGGTAGCATCCGTCGCCACACCGTTGCCAATGCTCACTCAGATATTCAGCTCCTGGCAATGGCCTCCATGATGCACACGGGAATGGTGACTGAGGAGTCAGACGGTACCGACAAACGCCTCCTCCTGCAGCCCAGTTTTAGCCACAGGCAGTGCTCCAGTGAGCCCAGTATTGCCGATGGGCCTGAGGGAGTCATGGCAGCGAGCAGGCAAGACTCTGCAGAGCTGAACTGCACATCGGTCAGCTAGAAGAAGTCTTGCTGAGACGGGGAGAACTGTACGCACTAAGCTGGACAAAGCATCCCGTCATCCCTGCTGGGATGCTCCTGTCATTGAAATGGCCTTGAGGGATGTTATGTCTCTTTGGGAATGCTCTCTAGATTAATTTTTCTTGCCTGTCTGGGGTCATTGTTGATGGAGGTACCAGGCTGCTCCCAAACGAGCACGGAGGGCTGCAAAGTTTTCGCTGTTGAACAGCGTAGTCTACCTTCTGTAAGCTTTCTTCCTCTACTAGTCCAAACCCTTTGGCCTCAGATTTCCTTCTGTTTCTTTGGTGTGATACAAATTTGCCTGATCCTGCTTTTCTCTATCTTGCCCAGCTTTGTGCTGCTTGTTTGCTCGTTGTTGCTGCAGCAGAGAGCTCTGTGCTAAACGTTCTCTTTGCTTCTGGCACTGGGTAGTGATGGCCGAGGACTGCATTTTTCTCTTTTGAAGTTGAACTCAGGGGTGAAACCATTTGCATCCTGCAGAAAGATTTGCTCAGGTGGCTTGTGAGAGAAGGAGATCCTTTGCTTTGCCTCTCATGGGCATGGACAAAAAGTCCAAATCCAGACAAATCAGACTTTTTTTTTACCCCAGACCTAAAGAGAACAGAGTATACATGGAGTCCCAGCTGAGTACTTCATATGCTTTCTTTGGTTCATCTTTGGGGTTGTGGTGTAAATGGGGTGCAAATGAGGGGTGGATGTGTAAATTGGGGGCAAAATTTAGTCCTGAGCATCCTGGCATTTGGCATCAATTTGCTTTCAAAAATTCAGTGGTGGTAGGGCTACAATGAACAGAGAAACCTAAATGGATTCCTTCGGGAAGGAGACGCTGGGCAGAGTTTGCGCTTGTGCGGGAGAGACAAAGGTGCTTCTCAGCACTGAGCCACCGTGGTTCCAGACCATGAGGTGACGAACAGGATTTCATCCTTGGGCTGCTCTGGTACTTTTAGAACTTGCAGATTTCATGATACCAAAGATAATAAGCGGGGTGTAGAAAGGAGTCCTGTCCGGTAGTGTATTCGTGAAGTGCTCCTGACCTCCAGTGGTATCTGACTCTGCGCAGTGTTGCTTTTAAGATAAAGCGAGGGCTCTTTGCAGTCTTTGGTTTTGTTTTTATTTTGAAGATTATGAGTGGGTCCAGTTTGTGAGTGTCTGTGGCAGTCCACAGTGTCTGCTTTGTGGCATCACTTGGTACTCAAACGCTGCTTCTGTGGGAACAGAACCAATCTGTTTGAGCAGTCCCCTGGGATGCTCTGCTGACGCCTTGCTGAGCAGATTTGCAAGTGTAATTACGGGCTTAGACGTGAACTGAAATGCTGCCTTAAATGTCAAATCCCAGTAAAAATACAGATATAACACCACTGCCACTCGAATCTAGTCCCTGTGGTACAGACTGTAAATAAATCTGTCTTGACAAGGAAACACAAGGTTAGGATGAGCCTTCAGGATGGTTTTTTTTGCATGCTGTGACGTGAACTGCAGAATTTGCCCTGCTTCTTCTGGGCATGAAGCGTCTTCTGCTCCACCAGCCACATGAAGGTACAGCTCCAACCTGTCAGGATTTGGCCTTAGCAGCATGGGCAGCAAAACGAAAGCGGATTAGGTAACGAACTATCAGAAATACCAGCGATGACCACAAGTCACGCTGCCTTTGTAAAAGAGGGTGTTGCTTTGTCTCCTGTGGTTTGCAGATGTTGAAAGAGATAGTTGAAAGCGCCTGCTTCTCCTTGCAGTCACTTAAGGCACCCTAGCTATTGGCCTCTGTGGAAATACCAAGTGTGTTCATCGCCAGCTGTGCTTACGCGTTGAACAACAGAGATTTAGTTGTGCTGGCTCACTCCTACTCGGAGCGTGCGGAGGCCAGGAAGATGTGGCTTTAAGCAGTCTTCCCTTCAGGTGGATTCTAGGATAAATTGCCCTCCTGTTTGTAAATTGGACTGACCAGGCCAACTTGTTTGTTGTCATCTGTCCCAGGGCGGTCACAGATTGTCGTGGAGCTTCAGAATCTCTGTGGTGACAGCGAAACCTAGCAGACCATGCTGGTCTCACCTTGGCACGGTCCTTCCAGCGTGGGGCAGGTGGTGGCAGCCTGCTTAAAAGGAATTTCTTTGGGCCCTTGCAGTGATGTAAAACCTTCTCTTAGTCACAGTGGGGCGTGCAGGGAAGTGATCGCCCTGCAGTATTTCAGTTCACTCTTATGAATGCTTTTCTTCTTTCCATTTCTCTTCTAACCCATTTGCCTTCTGTAAATATGCAAACTGTTCAGATTAGTGAGCAGCGCCCTCTTTTATGGTGAAAATTAGAACGATTTATTTATTTCCTGACATATTCTTGGATCATCTCTAGGGCTGATAGCAATCCAGCCCTGGTTTTAACTTGAATTGCTTCTGTTTTACATGTATATGTAATTTGAATTATTTTGATTTTGTGTCTGTTACTTTGCAAAAATTTGCACCAAGCCACCCTGAATCATGCACTTCCCCAGTTGTGTTCTTTTTTAGGGAGAATTAAAGCTGGTGGCTTTACTTTGTAAACTGAAGTAAACAAAACTTGTTCTGTAAACCACACTGAGGGTCTGGTCATGAGCACCACTCTTACAGCCACGTGAGACGCACAGGTCCCTGCAAGCCCACGCCACTTTCAGGCAGACTGGGTGAACCTGGGAGCGGTCGGAAAGCTGCACCCTGCGGCTGCCATGAGGGCCGTGCCAGGCTGGGACCGGAGCACTGTGGGGACAGAGCTGGGGGGCAGCGCCGAGCGGCTGGGCTCCCCCGAGGGGCTGCCAGCCTGCTGAGGCTCTGTCCCCTGGAAGCAGAGAGCAAAGGCTCTGTCCCCAGGCCAGAGCCGCGGCGTGAGAAACCCTTGCATTTTGGATATGGGGTTCTGGTCTGGGGTTACACTTCGCTGCTCACCATGTCACACAGCCGTGACAGGGGCACAGGGTAGGTCTGTTCTACCCTCATGGTCATCCACTTCAGCAAATCTCCTGGAAGAGCTGTCAGAATGGGAAGAAGGGATTCCTCTCACCACGTCCCAAAGTCTGCCTTCTAACTGGATAATTACCTAGCCTGAGTCACTTTCCGTCACACCGAATCTGTCTTCTCTTTTTACCCTGTCTCCTCTTCTTAAGGTGAGTGTTTCATTCTCTATGTCTGTACAATTCTGTCATAAATTTCCTGAGGGGGCCTCAGAAGAAAGCTATTCTTAGTACAGCTGGCCTTTTCCTGACATCCCCCATAGGCAAGCAGCATGTTTTTATTGCCAGCAAGCAGAGCTGCTTCAGTCGCCAGCTGGATGGGCAGCAACCCGGCTTATTTTTTGGTTTTTCTGTCTATCTGAAGAAATGCAGTAGATCTTGGTGCTGGCACTGGTGGCAGCAGGGGGAGCACTGCAGCATTTGGATTGATGCTGAGGTACGGTATTGCCCTTTCTTTTTAGTTCCAAATGGCAATGGCTTCCCCTGGAAGGAATGGTCTTTTGATGCTTACAGCCTGGAGTTCACAGACTGAAAATGCTTGGCTCTTACAGGCATCCTGTGTCCCAGGGAGCAGAAACCAAGTGTCTGGTGAGGGACACATTGTGGTGTTTGTGGTATACTTACTTATATGATCTTCTTAATGCTTCTGTAGGCCCAGGGTAGCCAGTTCCCCGACCTGGCTCCTTCCCTGGGCCCAGCAGCAGGACTCCTGGGCCAGGCACACACCTTGTATTGTGGTGGTGGTGGGGTTTCCAGTGACAGAAAAAGGAGTTGAGTGTTATAGAAACTCAGCCAAAGTTGATGACACTGACTTGCACCGAGTTGCCAGAGACAGAACTGCAAGTTATGTGCCAAGAGCAAAAAATGCTGCCGTTGCAGAGGACTGCAGGCAGGGCCTTGGCGTGACACAGTCACGCTCTCGATGGGTCTTTCTCATACTTAGGAAAGGCTGAAGAATGTGATTTTTTTTTAAGTGTTGGCTCTATGCAAGTGAAAGTGAGCTCCTTTCCTCATTTACAGCTGAAATTTAGAGGCAGATAAAAATCTGTTCAGCCATGGAAGCTGCAGCCAGCAGAAGTTAGCAACTGTGTTCCATGCAGTGATTTTAGCGCACCAGGCACCAACCCGCGCCATGGGGCTGCGGCCCCTCCTCACCGAGCCAGAGTCAGCCCCTTTCCACAGCCCCGCGAACCTCAGCTGCACGTCTGCAGCGGGCTGGGCGCATCCTTCCGTTAGCCTGCTCCTTGGGGTAAGCCACCCGCTCCTCAAAGTAACGAGCGCCAGTATTGAGCCACGGATCGGGCGTCTGAACCCCCAAAAGAGGCAGGGGGCCAGGCTGCCAGCTCCCTGGCTGCTCCTTCCCCACGCGGGACAGGTCTCCACAGAGCCGGCACGGCTTCCGGCGCGGAGCAGCCCGGCAGCGGGGCTCAGGAGAGCGGGTGGGATGGCAGGACTGGCTTACCCTGGCACAGACCCCCCACAGTGCCCAGGGAGCTTCCCAGGGCAACGCGAGCTGGAAGTTCAGCCTGCAGTCAGCTTGGTTCTTGCTCGCAGACACTCCAGCTCCATAGGAAAGCTGCCGTGAATTTTCCTCTTAATTCAAAGGGAGAAGAGCGTGGCTACTGTGTGATACCTCCCTGAGCAAAGAGAAGAAAATGGATCATCCTGTTCATTTTTCAGATACAGAAGGCGAACCTGGCGGCATGACAACAACTCAAATGGGATTTTGTTACTTCTCCACACATTTGAAGAGCGCTTACTGTCCCTCTTGCTATCCCAGCACCTCCCAATGAAGACACCAAGCACTTTAAATAAACAAAAGCTTCAAAACGGAAATGCCAGCTTTTAAAGCAGCTTAGCAGCGAGGGAACAGCACGTTCTCATTAACACAGTGTTCAAAAGTGCGTGCAGTAAAATAGCTGCCACCTTCCACCTGAGAACTGGCTGCCCTTCATTCATTGCTTACACCTGATGGTACCTGAGTCCCTGTGTTAGTTAGATCCAGC